CCTAAGTATTTGCGAAGGCAAATTTTTTAATCCATGGAAGTTTTATTTTTTTCCAAAAAGGGTTCTGGAAAATGCAAAAACATTGGACAAGGAAAGTTAAACCCATTCCCCTCCAGCTCATGTAAAAAAACCCTCCCGCTCCCTGCTTGTGTGCCCCCCTGGGAGAATGCAGCACCGCTTTTCCGGGGCCCGCTGTGTACTCCGGACACAGGGGAACACTGATTTTTGACGGGACCTCGTTAGGTCCCGACATTTATTACTGTTTGGGCCCAATCATGATCACAAAGATATAACAAATGGCACCCCCTGATACATTCTTACTACATGTAAAATCTGAAAAATGATCACAGAGGTACATGGTATAGGGCTATTACAACAACCTTGTCCCATGTGACAAGCGGACCAACCCCAGCTCCCAGTAGTTCTCAAGGGCGCAAAAATGCGCCAAAGAGAAGGAGAAATTTATTGTTTTTACACCCTTTAAAAAAAAAAAAAAAAATCTTCATTTGCCCCCCAAAAGATACAGGTCACTATGGGACACTGTACGCTAGGGTGACAGTTGTAAAAAAAAAAAAAAAAAAAAAAAAAAAAGATAAATAAAAAAAAAATGAAAAAAAAAAAAAATTAAAAAAAATTATACTTTTTGGTTTTTAAACTAATTGGGTTATTTTTTTTTTTTCAAAAAAGATAGATGAATACTTTTGGGCAAGTTTTTATGAAAACAGATTATTTATTTGCAAAATTTTTTTAAAATTTTTTGGACTTTTTCATTTAAATCAAAAAAATAAAAATCCCATGGTGAATAAAAACCACCAAAAAAAATTTTTTATCTGGTCAAAAAAATGAAAAAAATGCTAGGGGTCAGTGTTGCATGACCGAAATTTTCCTTAAAATTGAAGCGCGAAAGGAAAAATGGGCCGGACGGAAGGGGGGGAAAATGTCCGACCCGAAGGGTGAAAGTGTTGACTAAGGAGGGGGAAGTGTCCGGACGGAAAAGGGGGGGAAAGTGTCCGGACGGGGGGAAAGGTCCGGGGCTGGAAGGGGTGAAAGGTCCGGGCGGAAGGGGAAAGGACCCACTGGAAGGAGGGAAAGTTCCCGGACTGGAAGGGGGGAAAGTGTCCGGCGGAAGGGGGTGAAAGTGTCCGGACGGAAGGGGTTAAAGTGCCGGGGCGGAAGGAGGGAAATGCCGGACGGAAGGGGGGAAAATTTCCGGATGGGAAGGGGGGGGGAAAAGGGCTGGGCTGGAAGGGGGGGGAAAATTTCCGGACTGGAAGGGGGGGGGGGAAAGGTCCCGACTGGAAGGGGATAAAGTGTCCCCGGGCTGGAAGGGGGGAAAGTGCCCACTGGAAGGGGGGTAAAGTGTCCGACTGGAAGGGGGGGGGAAAATGTTTGGGGCTGGAAGGGGGGGAAAGGGGACTGGAAGGGGGGGGAAAAAATTCCCGGGGGAAGGGGGGGAAAATGCCGGACGGAAGGGGGGGGAAAATGTCCCGGACTGGAAAGCGTCCGGACTGGAAGTGGTTAAAAAATGCTTCTAAACGCAAACGCTTATAAATGCAGTTAAATTAGTCTGTTTGAGGATACCGGGGTTCATTCTTAATGCCAGCAGCTTGATATTAATCGTGCGCTCATTTGCTATATATTTTAGGTTAACCGCGTTTACAACGCTGATAAAATCTACTCCAGAACACAAGTTTGGTGTATTAAAAAAAAACCACTGTAAACTCAACTGCCTGTAAAGGACGATGTGTACACGGACACATAGGAAAACATTAGGGAGAGTTCAGGGGCTGCTGAAAAAAACGCTGAACAGCTCCTAAATGTCAGTTTCTCAGCTGCAGTGTACATGAGGCCTAACTGTCTATTATGCAATCAAAGCATCAGACAGCACAAGGAAACCAATCAGGATTGTACTGCAGACTCCGGACTGATCACTGAGAGGAATTCTGGAGGGAGACGGTTGTCAGAGAATGTCATGAAAGGGATCCTCTATGGATTAGAGCGGGGGTGGGCAACTGTGGCCCTCCAGCTGTTGGTGAACTACAAGTCCCATCATGCCGCTGCCTTTGGGAGTCATGCTTGTAACTGTCAGTTTTGCAATGCCTCATGGGACTTGTATTCTACAACAGCTGGAGGGCCGCAGTAGCCCACCCCTGGATTAGAGCATTGTCAGCCCAACACATTGAGATGGATGGAACAGGCAGACATGTTCAGGAAGACACACGCACACGTATGTAGAGCTGTATCAGAGAAGACTTTACCTCACATTTTCAGGACCGAGGAAGGTGCTGAGCCGGTATTATTACTGCACCACAGGCTGACACTACAATGGAAGGAAGGGGGAGGCTGTTTTCAGGCCCCTCAGTCATGGATTGTGACATCTGAGGTAGGGGCAGTTTCAAGGCCCCCCTTCCCCTGCTTTCTCCTCAGGAGGTCAGATCACACCTGGTCCAGCTGTAGAAAATCTGCCCAGCAACATCCCCTGTCAGGTGACACAGGTGTGATCCGCCCGGAGACAAGAGAAGTCAGCTGACCCTTGGGAACATTCTGGAAGGTCACATGACCTTTATCATGGGGTCAGCTGACCTTTTGGATTCTTCCAGAAGGGAGTTTAACCTGTATAAAGAGGGGCTCCGTGATTGGCTCTGAGCCGGTCTGCAGACCCCTGGCTATAATAGAGGAGCTGTCAGCAGGGATCGGGGACATGAGGAGCCGGATGTGCCGCCTGACAGAGAGAGCCGGGGATGAAGATGACGAAGAATGGATGCAGAGGTGCCGCTCCTCTCTCCACTCCCTCCACACAAGGATGGTGAGTCTACTCCAATACAATGACGGGAGCGGTGCAGGGGGGGGGGGGCCATTTATAAATGTCCTCCCCGCTTCCCTGTCTGTGTGCGCCCCCTAGGTAGGAGGACACAGCAGAACTCCAATCGCTGTACGGAACCTCTGTGCGAGTTCCCGATCATGTGATCACTGATTGGCCAATCGGTGATCACATGAACAGTAGTAAGCAAGATGTCACTTCTGACATCATTGCTTACTACGTGTGAAATCTGTTAATGATCACAGAGATCACATGGTACAGGGCTATTCACAACAGCCTTGTACCATGTGACAAGCTGTGACCAATCACAGCTCACACAGTATTTCTCAATGGCTGCAAGAATGCAGCCAGAGAGAAGGAGAAATTATTGCTTTTACAGCCTTTATGGGTGTAAAAGCAATCAGTGTAAAAAAAGAAATAAAAATCTTCATCATCCCCCACAAGTAGTACAGTGTCACCATGGTGACTGTACTGCTAGGGTGACGTATGTAAAAAAAATAATAATAATAATATAAAAAAAAAAATTAAAATGTCAAAAATGTTTTTTGAAAAATTATAATTTTTGGTTATAACTAATTTGGGTTATTTATTTTTTTTACTGAAAAGATAACTGAATACATTTAGGCCAAAATTTATGAAGAAAGATTATTTATTTGCAAAAATTTTATAAGAAAAACACCTTTTTTTTTTTTTTTCCAAATTTTTGGACTTTTTCATTTATATAGCAAAAAAAAAATAAAAATCCCAGTGGTGAATAAATACCACCAAAATAAAGTTTTATCTGTCTCAAAAAATGCTAAATAATTCATATGGGTACAGTGTGTTCCATGACCGCGCAATTGTCATTCAAAGTGTGATAGCGCTGAAAGCTGAAAATTGGCCTGGACTGGAAGGGGGGGAAAGTGTCCGAACTGGAAGGGGGGGAAAGTGTCAGGCAGGAAGGGGGTGAAAGTGTCCGGACTGGAAGGGGGGGAAAGTGTCCGGACTGGAAGGGGGTGCAAGTGTCCGGACAGGAAGGAGGTGAAAGTGTCCGGACTGGAAGGGGGTGCAAGTGTCCGGACTGGAAGGGGGGGTGAAAGTGTCCGGACAGGAAAGGGGGGGAAAGTGTCCGGACTGGAAGGGGGTGAAAGTGTCCGGACTGGAAGGGGGTGCAAGTGTCCGGACTGGAAGGGGGGGAAAGTGTCCGGACTGGAAGGGGGTGAAAGTGTCCGGACAGGAAGGGGGTGAAAGTGTCTGGACTGGAAGGGGGTGAAAGTGTCCGGACTGGAAGGGGGGTGAAAGTGTCCGGACTGGAAGGGGGTGCAAGTGTCCGGACTGGAAGGGGGGGAAAGTGTCCGGACTGGAAGGGGGGTGAAAGTGTCCGGACAGGAAGGGGGTGAAAGTGTCTGGACTGGAAGGGGGTGAAAGTGTCCGGACTGGAAGGGGGTGCAAGTGTCCGGACTGGAAGGGGTGAAAGTGTCCGGACTGGAAGGGGGTGAAAGTGTCCGGACTAGAAGGGGGGAAAGTGTCCGGACTGGAAGGGGGGGAAAGTGTCCAGACTTGAAGGGGGTGAAAGTGTCCGGACTGGAAGAAGGGGGGGGGGAAAGAGTCCGGACAGGAAGGGGGGGGAAGTGTCCGGGCTGGAAGGGGGTGAAAGTGTCCGGACTGGAAGGGGGTAAAAGTGTCCGGACTAGAAGGAGGGAAAGCGTCCGGACTGGAAGGGGGGGGGGGAAGCGTCCGGACAGGAAGGGGGGGGGAAGTGTCCGGACTGGAAGGGGGGAAAGCGTCCGGACTGAAAGGGGGGGAAAGTGTCCGGACTGGAAGGGGGGAAAGCGTCCGGACTGGAAGGGGGTGAAAGCGTCCGGACTGGAAGGGGGGGGGGAAAGCGTCCGGACTGGAAGGGGGGTGAAAGTGTCCCGACTGGAAGGGGGGGAAAGCGTCCGGACTGGAAGGGGGGGGAAGGATCCGGACTGGAAGGGGGTGAAAGTGTCCGGACTGGAAGGGGGTGAAAGTGTCCGGACTGGAAGGGGGGGGTGAAAGCGTCCGGACTGGAAGGAGGTGAAAGTGTCCGGACTGGAAGGGGGGGAAAGTGTCCGGACTGGAAGGGGGGGGGAAAGCGTCCGGTCTGGAAGGGGGGAAAGTGTCCGGACTGGAAGGGGGGGGGGGGAAAGCGTCCGGACTGGAAGGGGGGGTAAGCGCCCGGACTGGAAAGGGGGGAAAGTGTCCGGACTGGAAGGGGGGGGAAAGTGTCCGGACTGGAAGGGGGGAAATTGTCCGGACTGGAAGGGGGGGAAAGCGTCCGGACTGGAAAGGGGAGAAAGTGTCCGGACTGGAAGGAGGTGAAAGTGTCCAGACTGGAAGGGGGGGGAAAGTGTCCGGACTGGAAGGGGGGGGGGAAGCATCCGGACTGGAAGGGGGTGAAAGTGTCCAGACTGGAAGGGGGGGTGAAAGCGTCCGGACTGGAAGGAGGTGAAAGTGTCCGGACTGGAAGGGGGGGAAAGTGTCCGGACTGGAAGGGGGGGAAAGCGTCGGACTGGAAGGGGGGAAAGTGTCCGGACTGGAAGGGGGGGAAAGTGTCCGGACTGGAAGGGGGGGGAAAGTGTCCGGACTGGAAGGGTGGGAAAGTGTCCGGACTGGAAGGGGGGAAATTGTCCGGACTGGGGGGGGGGAAAGCGTCCGGACTGGAAAGGGGGGAAAGTGTCCGGACTGGAAGGAGGTGAAAGTGTCCGGACTGGAAGGGGGGAGAAAGCATCCGGACTGGAAGGGGGGGAAAGCGTCCGGACTGGAAGGGGGGGAAGTATCCGGACTGGAAGGGGGGGGAAGTGTCCGGACTGGAAGTGGTTAAAGGACATGCAGAGCCTGCTTGGCCTATTGGCTTTTGCAGCCAGAATTTTGCCGTGTTTTTTTTTCTAGACGTTTTTATTTGGCAATTTTCTGGCTAAAATCTCCTTCCTCCCATATCCGACTGACTTCAGATTTCAGAGAAGACCTTCCAGTGTGGTCACATTTCTTAGAACACTTCAAAAGATCCTTTTGTTTGTGATCAGGAATTTAGTTTATTTACGGACGTAGCAGGATCAGTGGTCTGATTATGTCAGTATTTCTGTGCTCAAAACGGTACATTTTTTTGCATGGAAATATGTATTTTTTTTATTGTAGGCCTGTAATTTTTAGGAATAACTCACTGAAATCTGTCCGGACAAGGGTCTAGTAAACATCCCGGGGATGTTAAAATTTGAAACAGGAAATCAAAAAACTATAATTTAATAAATAATCATAAAAAATAATAATATAATAAAATAAATGTAATTCAATAATATAATCAAACCAAAAACACTGAAATGTGAAATAGAGCGCCAAGTTCGCACATCGCTGAGCTCAGTCGCAGAATCGTTTTCAGTGTCTGATGAGGAATTTCCCCCACGAATCATTATCACTCAATTCTGCAAGTGGTTCTGATTTACTATCTCTGTTCTCTAGCCGGTCTAAAACCGCGTTTGACCTAAAGGGGCGCTTTTTGGACGCCATTGGACGACGTTTCTCAGTTTACAGGCAGAAAGAACAGTAAAATGCAGGCAGGGCGCCGGACAGAGCACTCGGGACACAATGTATGTGAAATGGTTTGATACAGGAATGTTATACTGTGTGATTTTAGTGTATTTAGTGAATGTCACTTTTTGACATTTTTAAATTTCCCGCCGGTTCCGTCCCCCATACGTCCCGACGTTGCAAGGAACGGAAGACGGATGCGGCATCCGCCGGAGGACATCACAGGGGACACTGCAGGGGGGACATCGCGGGCGGGAGCGCAGGACAAGGTAAGTGAAAAAGAGATCCCGGAGCAACGCTGTGTATTCCCGAGTGTAGCTCGGGGGGGGGGGTTACCGCTTCTGGTGCTGAAACTTTACCCCGAGCTACACTCGGGGAATACCGCCAGGGGGTTGATTAGGGTAAGGGTATGTTATTCAGCCACTTAGATGTGTTCACAGCAGGGGCGGACTGACAACGCATGGGGCCCCCGGGCAATAGGAAATCATGGGGCCCCTGTGTCCATGCCCACACTCAAACCACACCCAAAAAAGCCTATGAAAGGTACCAGGGGCATCTCATGGGGCCCCCTACTGCCCCCTAGCCCTCGGGCAGTGCCCGAGTGGCTAAATGGTCAGACCGCCCCTGGTTCACAGAGTGTTACAGAGGAGTGTATATAAAAAGTTCACACAGTGTTTCACTATCACAAGTGGTTTCACGTTTTTGTGTTTCTTTCTGCACAAAAATAATTTGAAATTTCTGGCTTTTGATTTAATTAATTTATGAATTTATTGTTGTTCATTATTTATTGAGGATAATACGCTATTTCGTTTTTCTTTGTTTGGAGGTACACGGCAATTATTGGAATCACACAGTGAATTTATATCAGAAATTGGAAGAAAAATTCTTTGGACTTTGTTTTTTGAGGATTTTGTGTTGTTTTTTTTTTTTCATTTCACAGACACTGGAAAAGGTTTATATAATTACTACTTTACGACTACTGCAACTCCCTCCTCAAAGGCCTACCCCAGTGCAAACTCACCCCGCTTCAGACCATCCTGAACTCAGCTGCCAGACTCATCCACCTCACCACCCCGCTCCACCTCTGCCACCCCCTCTGCCTCTCCCTCCACTGGCTCCCCATTGCCCAACGCATTAAATTCAAACTGCTCACTCTGACCTATAAAGCCATTCACAACACTGCCCTAACTACCTCACCGACCTGATTCCCAGATACCACCCTACCCCGTACCCTTCGCTCTTCACAGGACCTCCTTCTATCTTGCTCCCTGGTCTCCTCCTCCCACGCACGACTGCAAGACTTCTCCAGGTCCTCCCCCATCCTCTGGAACTCACTACCCCAACCCATCAGACTGTCACCTTCCCTCCTCACCTTCAGGCGCTCCCTGAAAACCCACCTCTTCAGGGAAGCCTACCCCACCCTCACCTAACAGCCGCTGCCCTTCCCTCCTCCTTCCACTCCATCCCCACAGCCATTTCCTCCTGTACCTCTTTGCTCTCCCCCCTCCCTCCTAGATTGTAAGCTCGAAAGAGTAGGGCCCTCTTACCCCTTGTGTGCTGTTTGATGTTACTGTACTGTTTCATGTATTGTCCCCCTCTATTGTACAGCGCTGAGCAAACCCTTTGGCGCTATATAAACTCGATAAATAAATAAAATAAATAAATAATTATTTTGGACTTTCAAGGGTGAAAGTGGGACTTTTTAAGTGTCATTTACACAGGGAGTTTTTATTTTTTGTTTTATAATATTTTAGTGTGTATAATTATAGGATACCGATTTAATATTCACAGAAAGTACACACTATAGAGGGATGTGCTTTGTTCATATTTCATGTCTGAGGTTTTACAACACTTTAACCACTTCAAGTCCGGACACTTTCCCCCCTTCCAGTCCGGACACTTTCCCCCCCTTCCAGTCCAGACACTTTCCCCCCCTTCCAGTCCAGACACTTTCACCCCCTTCCAGTCCGGACACTTTCCCCCCCTTCCAGTCCGGACACTTTTCCCCCTTCCAGTCCGGACACTTTCACCTCCTTAAAGTCCGGACACTTTCCCCCTTCCAGTCCGGACACTTTTACCCCCCTTCAAGTCCGGACACTTCCCCCCCCCCTTCCAGTCCGGACACTTTCACCCCCTTCCAGTCCGGACACTTTCACCCCCCTTCCAGTCCGGACACTTTCACCCCCTTCCAGTCCGGACACTTTCACCCCCTTCCAGTCCGGACACTTTCCCCCCTTCCAGTCCGGACACTTTTTCCCCCCTTCCAGTCCGGACACTTCCCTCCCCTTCCAGTCCAGACACTTTCCCCCCCTTCCAGTCCGGACACTTTCCCCCCCCTTCCAGTCCGGACACTTTCCCCCCCCCTTCCAGTCCGGACATTTTCACCTCCTTCGAGTCCAGGCCAATTTTCAGCTTTCGGCGCTATCACACTTTAAATGACAATTGCGCGGTCATGCAACACTGTACCCATATGAATCTTTTTTTTAGCATTTTTTTTTATTTATTCACCACTGGGATTTTTTTTTTTATATGTAAATGAAAACGTCCAAATGTTTTGAAAAAAAGTGTTTTTCTTATAAAACATTTTTGCAAATAAATAATATTTCATCATAAATCTCGACCAAAATTTTATTCTGTTATCTTTTTAGTAAAAAAAAAATAACCCAAATTAGTTTATAACCAAAAATTCTAATTTTTAAACTTTTTTTTTTTATTTTTATATTATTATTTATATTTTTATTTACATATTGTCACCCTAGCAGTATAGTGTCACCATGTGGGGAGTGATGAAGATTTTTTTTTTACACTGATTGCTTTTACACCCATAAAGGCTGTAAAAGCAATCATTTCTCCTTCTCTCTGGCTGCATTCTTGCAGCCATTGAGAACTACTGTGTCAGCTGTGATTGGTCACAGCTTGTCACATGGTACAAGGCTGTTGTGAATGGCCCTGTACCATGTGATCTCTGAGATCATTCACAGATTTCACACGTAGTAAGCAATGATGTCAGAAGTGGCATCTTGCTTACTACTCTGCATGTGATCACTGATTGGCCAGTGGAATACTGATCGGTGTTCCACTGTGTCCGGAGGACACAGCGGGCACCGGATTGCGGTGCTGCACGCTCCCAGGGAGCGCGCACAAGCAGGGGGTGAGGAGGAGGCCATTTATAAACGGCCACCTGACCCTGCACTGCCACCGTCCAGCCGTTTATATACAACGGCCAGATGAGAGGTGGTTAAATTTAACTTGATCCCGTCCTTAACCAACCAGCTCTCACACCTCTACCAGATCAGTCTTTACATTTCTGCTGTGGGCCTGCTTATTTAGCAATATTGTTTTTAGAATAAATAAACACTTTCTTTTGGGGAAATTGTCTTGTAAAAATGATTTTTATTTTTTATGCAATCCATAGACAAAGATGTAGAAAAAAACACATTTTTTTTCTATATTTATCAGTTTCTTTTTAATGTTGTTAAAAATATAAATCAGCTGCCATTATGACAGCTAGGAATTGGAAGTTCGAAATGTGGATCGGCAGTGGGGCAGAAGGACAGGGCGTGCTCCACAGGCATGAAGTTTTTTTGGCCGTCAATAAAAGTCGAGTGTCAATAAATGGTTAATAAATTCAGCCAATAAAAACAAGAGAATTTTTTTTCACTGTCCACCTTTACAGCCTATGATATCTCCAGGAATCCACCATGGAATTTGTAGCGCACCGGAGATCCCAATCAGGTTTTCTCTGTAAGTATTACAGATTCATCTAATACAACGTTTCTTGAATCTTCTCCATAAACTGGGTTTTATCACCTGAAAATTAACAAATGTGTTACTTGTTAAATTATCTTGTATACAAAACACATTATACAGTCATGGCCGAAAATCTTGTAATTCCCCCCCGCCTCAATTCTGTCAGATAATGCACTACTTCACCCAGAAAATTGCTGCAATGACAAATGTTTCGGCATTTTCATGTTTATTTCTTTGGTTTGTATTGGTATGACACAAAAAAGTGGAGAAACAAAAAGCCAAATCTGACACATTCCACGCGAAACCCCAAAAATGGACCAGACAAATTATTGGCACCCTCCATGTAATATTTGGTCGCACACCCCTTGGAAATAAATAAGTGAAATCAATCGCTTCCTGGAACCATCAATGAGTTTCTTCCACCTCTCTACTGGAATTTTGGATCGCTGTTCTTCCTCCAACTGCTCCAGGTCTCTCAGATTGGAAGGGTTTCCTTTCCCCAACTGCTGTTTTGAGATCTCTCTACAGGAGCTCTATGGGATTGAAATCTGGACTCATTGCTGGCCAGTTTAGTCCTCTCCAGTGCTTTGTTTGAAGCCATTTCTGGGGGCTTTTTGACGTGTGCTTTGGGTCATTGTCCTGCTGGAAGACCCATGACCTTTGACGGAGACCCACATTTCTGACACTGGGCCCTACATTGCACCCCAGAATTCTTTGGAAGTCTTCAGATTTCATAATGCCATGCACACGGTCCAGACATCCAGTGCCTGCAGCAGCAAAGTAACCCCAAAATATCAGTAAGCCTCCACCATGTGTGACTGGAGGGACTGGATTCTTTTCTTTAAAGGCCTCATTGCTTTTTCTGAAAACAGTAGAATGATGGGCTTTACCAAAAAACTGCCATTTTGTTTAGTCTGTCCACAGCACATTCTCCCAGAAGGTTTTGGCTTAGTTTTGGCAAACTCCAATCTGACTTCCAATATGTTTCTGTGTCAGCAGTGGGGACCTCCTGGGTCTCCTACCATAGTGTCACTTTTCATTCAGATGATGACATATAGTGGGAGCGGACACAGTTGTACCCGGTGCCTGAAGGTCAGCTTGGATTTGTCTGGAAGTTGATTGAGGTTCTTTAGCCACCATTCCAATAATCCTTCATTGCAATCTTTGATCAGTTTTTCTCTTTCATCCACGTTCAGGGAGATTAGCTACAGTGCCATGGGCTGTAAAGTTCTTGACAATGTTGCGCACAGTGGACACAGGAACATTAAGATCTCTGGAGATGGCCTTGTAACCTTGAGATTGTCCATGCTTTTTTCACAATTTTTGTCTCAAATCCTCAGACAATTCTTGGCTGCTCTTTCTCTTCTCCATGCTCCATGTGGCACACCAGAGACACACAACAGAAAGGTGGAGAACATTTTTTGGCATTTTACTGGTTGCCGGAGTGATTTCTACCTTGTCAGCTCCTGGTCATTGATACAGGGGAGTTTAATGACAAATTACAGGAGAATCACAAACTTGGAATGCAATTATTTCTTACAATTTTGAGAAGGTGCCAACATTTTGTCCAGTCCATTTTTGGAATTTTTGCGTGGAATGTGTCAGATTTGGCATTTTGTTTCTCCTCTTTTTTATGTCGTACCAATACACAATACAAACAAATCTGCCTCGATTCAGAGATGCCCACCATCTTTTGCTTCTCAATACTATAATATTATTCACCTGCTGAAAGAATATAATACATTAACAAGTCAGGCTCAATACGATCGCTCATAAACTAGCCTAAATCGAACCCTAATCTAATGTAGTGCTTGTCCAGAAGGAGCCGCTGAAGTTTGGGTCCTCTAATTTCAGATGACAATGACCCTTCTAGCAAAGCCACACCCTCCATCACACTAAGGTTAAAGAAGGAGCATTTATTTGGGGTAGACTCCCTTTACAGCAACAATAAAAAAAATAAATAGCAATTTCAATGAACAGGTAAAAAGGTAAAACAGATTTTGCACAATACAACAATATAAAGAGAAGACCAAGTGTCTCTGAACCTGAACACTGAATCTAGGGAGGTCCTAACTAAAGGGGCAGTACTGAAAGCTAAAATGTCCCTCAGTCTCTTCAAATGTCTGTGGGTAAGATATATCGACGATATCCTCCTACTTTGGGAGGGAGATCGAATAGCTTTACAAATGTTTATAGATGAGTTGAATTGGAATAAACGGGGAATTTCATTATCCTTTCAAACAAGTTCAAATTCTATGCAATTTTTGGATTTAGAAATTATGGTAAACAACAACCAAGTGTCCACCAGAACATTCTTTAAGTCCACTGATCGTAATTCTTTTTTTTGTTTCGACTGATAGATGTCATCATAAGGCATGGTTAAAATCTGTACCCCGGAGCCAATTCATCAGGTTGAGATGTAATTTCTCCAAATTGGAGGATTACATGGAGCAAGCGAAGACCCTTAAAAAACAATTTGTTGAAAAAGGTTACAATGAACATCTAATGGAAGTGGAGATATCTAATATTAAACAGATCAGTAGAGAAAGTCTATTGGAGGATTGAATTAAACAAGAGGACTCTGATAAATTTAAATGGTCCTTTATGACCACATATTCGGCCCAATATGGGCAGGTACAAAACATCATTAAAAAACATTGGGGAGTTCTCCAAAACGATATGATTTTGGATCCATTTCTCCCAACTAGACCAGCTGTGGTATTTAGAGGACTAACTGCACTTCGTGCTAGAATGCCACCAAATGTTGTTGATCCCCCTGAACGATTCAAATTTTTTATGATCTCAAAGGGTATCTCTGCCGACATAACATTTCATGCAGAAAATGTGATAATTTTTACGTCTACGGTTACTTCCAAGCAGTGATCTATAAAATCACTTATCACATGTACTTCCAAAAATGTGGTACGGTATTTTCCGGCGTATAAGATGACTTTTTAACCCATGAAAATCTTCTGAAAAGTAAGAGGTCATCTTATACGCCGGTATACGGCAAGCCGGTGTCAGGGCGGCACTTTTTCGAGGGGGGCGGCACGGTGCCGCCCCCCCCTTCCAACGGAAGGGACACTAAGTATAGGGGCGGGCAGGGGGCTGCTGTTTCTTACCTGGCTCCAGTCCCATGACGATCCAGTCCAGGAAGCGCGGCTGCTCCTTCATTCAGTTCGGCCGCTCGATGTTCGTGCGGCCGCTTGGCTCCGCCTCCTCACCAGTGATTGGGCGCCAGAACTGTAGCTCAGGAAAGGCACACAGGCGGCCAATCACCGGCGAGGAGGCGGAGCGAGCGGCCACCCCGCAAAAATCGAGTGAGGGAGCAGCCGGTAAGTGTGCAGCAGCACCATGCTGGAACAATATTGGCACTGTTACTCCCCCCCCACTGACACCAACGATGGGGAACTATTCCTCCCCCACTGACACCAACGATGAGGCACTATTCCTCCTCCCCACTGACACCAATGATGGGGCACTATTCCTCCCCCCCACTGACACCAATGATGGGGCATTATTCCACCCCCCCACTGACACCAATGATGGGGCACTATTCCACCCCCCACTGACACCAATGATGGAACACTATTCCTTCCCCCATTGACACTGACACTGATACCAATGATGGGGCACTATTCCTGCCACTGATACCAATGATGGGGCGCAATTCCTGCCACTGATACCAATGATGGGACACTATTCCTCCCACTGACACCAATGATGGGCGCACTATTCCTCCCACTGACACCAATGATGGGCACATTCCTCCCACTGACACCAATGATGGGGTGCAATTCCTGCCACTGATACCAATGATGGGGCGCTCCCACTTCCTCCCACTGACACCAATGATGGGGCACTATTCCTCCCACTGATACCAATGATGGGGACACTATTCCTCCCACTGACACCAATGACACCAATGATGGGACGCTATTCCTCCCACTGGGGACACCAATGATGGGGCACGATTCTTCCCACTGACACCAATGATGGGGCACTATTCCTCCCCTGACACTGCACTATTCCTCCACTACACGATGGGACACTATTCCTCACACACTGACATTAATGATGGGGCACCTCACACATCATTGGTGTCATTGGTGTCAGTGGGAGGAATAGTGTCCCATCATTGGTATCAGTGGAATACCATACAGTGGGAGGAATAGCACCCCATCTGGAATATACTGAAATATCATACTATATTGAAATCAAATCTGATGTTTTTTAATTTTTATTTGGTGTGCGTTGGAAGAGGGGGCTTATACGGCGTATAGCCAAAACCCTGTATTTTAACAGGAAAAGTAGGGGGTACGTCTTATAATACGGTATATTAATCATTTGTCCCTGTGGGAAACTATATGTAGGTAGAACCATTAGGTCCTTTCAGTACGAGTGAACGAACACATTAACAACATCAAAAAAGGGATTAGGAACAAAGTGTTCCCAAACATTAGGCTCTCCATCACAATAAAGATATAAGGGGGGCCACATTTTTGTCGATAGATATGAAGCGCAATGGTGTGGGGGTTCCTATAAAAGGGGAGTGTCTCGATTAGAGACATGTTCGATTTATGAACTTAACTCTTTTTTCCCCTTTGGCATGAATTTCGAGTGGGACATTAATTCTTTTATCAGTAATACTTGAGATATTTAAATGCATATGAGCCATTTGTATATAGCGTGTATATTGAGTGATATCCATCCATAGAGGTTTGAATTAAAACTTTTATTTGATGGTTTTAGACTATAATGATGTTTTGAATCCATTTACAATTCATTTAAGTTTATGTGAGGCGGTATATTAATTGATCAATCCCCGTGGAAGAGACATAATACATTATGCATGCCACATAAGACAAGTAATGACGGCAGCCATGTTGGAGTCCAATCCCCAGACTGAGGTTTTGGTGGAATTATATCTATTGTGACATCAGACAGAGGTTTGGTTTAGCCAAGCGGCGGCCATTTTAAATCCACATCAAGGTCTGTTGATCCGCAGACTGAGACTTGGTGGAATTATATTTATTATAACATCAGGCTGAGGTTTGGTT